TGTTAGCTAGCTATATCGCCCGATAGTAAATAACCCAATTCGAATTGCTAGCTAGGTATATCGGGTAGTATATTGAGTTAGCTAGCTAGATCGCCCGATAGTCGATATTTTTTTTCTCCTTGGGCAGACATCCCAAACATAAATAATAAATCATTTTTCTGCTTGAAGCAACATGTAAAATTTCTAAACTTTGCGATATTGCCGCAAATACAAGTCCTCCAGTCTATGTAAAATACCCACGCACTTTCACAATTTATTTTATAATCTATTCAGTTCATACAATGGACTAATTAATGATCTTCCAACGTTATTTTGATCTTTAGTCGTATTGGCAATCATTCGACGATAAAATATAAAAGCAATTAACCCCAACAGAACAACACTAAACGAAACAACAGTTGAAATAATGATTGTTGATTTATGATTCGATTTTGGTTTGTTCACAGGCGTGGATGGTTTCGGTGTTTGTTGTTCTGTTTTTGTATAGCCTGTTGATGAAACAGACAGTAAGGATCGATTTGTGGAGGTCCAAATTGTTCCAGTCGATGTACTTAGTTTTCGTGTGCTTGTGCTATCTGATGTTATTCTTGTTGCTGATGTCGTTGAATCATACGTGCTTTTAGTTGTGGTGGATGTTGTTTAGCTTCATTCGTAAAGGAAGCCCAAGTAAGAGTCACACCTTTCCCACTCACCATCATTAGTGGCGAAGCCACCAACAGGGCTAGAGGGGGCTGACCCCTGTCTAGAAAGCTCTGATCCCCGCTAGACGGTTTTTGAAAAAGTTTCCTGAAATGCAGCTTAGTTTATTAGCACTACTTCAGACCGAACTCCAGGGAAATGATGGACTGAGCCCTACCTAGTACGAAGTCCTGGTTTCGCCGCTAATCGCCTTCCACAAAGCGGAAATTTAGGCGTGCATCTAACCAAAAAGACTTACTGGAAAATAAACTTTGTTAGAGTCCTAGGAGATGAAAACGTTTAGACAAGAATTGTAGTTAACAGCATCATTTCATTTCAAATATTAGTTTCTAATTGAGGAATGAACTTATGAGCTAGAAGTGGTAGTTTTTGAGAAAATATCACTCATCGCGAAAATTTTCTTTTAAGACCTAAAAGTTAGAAGAAGAAAAGATTAAGAAAGTAAGCAAAGAAGAGATGACACAGGAATGCGTGCAAAAGTTTATCAGATACGGAAATCTGATAAACCATACTCAGGTCAGAAAGCGCAAAAGAATCGCAGAACAATACTTGTTAAAAGACAAAAGAATACAGATGTATCAGATGATGAACATTGACGTTTCACTCAAGGTATCTTCCCTACTATTAAGAGTGCACAATAGACAATAAGTATTGCACAGGAATGCGCTTCACAAGAAAAAAATGTGAGACTAACGAAAGAAACAAATATAGTTTTTAGTCAAGCAGTTTGACGATTGCGAAAAGCATTCGCTGAAAACCTAAGACTGTTTATAAGCTCGTGAAAATCACTACAAACGTTATCCGCTCATTGTTGTTAACCGATGACTCATTGTTCTGTTCGTGGATCAAACGAAGGCGTAGTATTTGAAAATAGACACGAGCTGTGAAGTCACTAGATAGACCAATGCCACAGGTAAAACGATTCTATTCAACACCAGAGCTGGGCAAGTCAGAAGTTTTGCAAGTCACAAGTCAAGTCAAGTCGAGGTCAGAAAACTTTTTCTCCCAAATCAAGTCGCTGCTCGAAATTCTTTCCTTCAAGTCAAGCCAAGTCTGGTTAAAATTAGGCAGAACATAAAATTTGCTAGCACCTTTTTGAGTCACAGAGTTTTTATAGCCTTACGAACTCTCTTTTGTGGTAGAAAAAGTCTAATTTAAACGAGAATCTCTTACTAGGAATGACTTGACTTGAAAAAAGTTTCTCAAGTCAGATCAAGTCATACCCTCAAAAAATTTTGGATCAAATCAAGTCACAGCCCAAACATTTTGGACCAATTCGAGTCAAGTTTGACATGACTTGATTTGACTTGGACTTGAGGCAGAGATCTACACGAGCCCCCGTGCAGATCTCTATTTACAACCCGCCTATACATCGCTTTATGTCACCAATATCATTTAAATTTATGTTGTTTGTGCTTAAAAGTAATTATTTTCAACAGAATCTTACGGCATACTTATTCTAGTGGTACACATTACAACTCAGCTTTAGACACCTCATCAAAATTCTATTTTAACTTAAAGTCTTCTGCAGAAGTCCTTGCTGTACAAAATGACGTGAAAGATCGTTTGAGTTAGCTGCTTGAAAATCTATTTTAAAGGAAAAATATAGCTTTTTCTTATGTTTAAACTTTTCAAATTAAAATTTTTTTCCGTGTTAACTTGATTTTAGAGCGCTGAAAAGTACCACAGTTTGTTTAGTTTTTTCCACTTTCGACTCTAATATGAAAAACAGAGAATAAAGAAAAATTTTATGAGGTACAAGAATCCTTGACTTCTAAGAAATTCTTCGTGAAACTTTTTGTACAAAATTCATAGTGAGCAACTCTAGTTGGAGATTCTACGATTTAAAAATTTGGATTCGTGGCTAACTTTGTAGGCACTTTCAAATGAGATTTTAATAAGCGGACATATTTTTTGGGTCATGTTATATGGTCTGTGCTGCATACTTCATTATAGTGCTAAGGGTCACTTAAGTATCAACCTTTATTTTCCACGTATAATTCTAAAGTGTTTGTGCGATACGTGGATTCGGAGCTTGCTGTTGTCATTGTTATATTATTATCAATAAAAAAGAATAAAAGAGAACCCCTTAACGGTGATTCATTATCTGTAGGCAATTTATCAAATGTTTGCAATTCAAATTCTAATTCTCTAGATTGTGTTCTATATTCAAATTGTGGTCGGTCGATATCGCCGCATAATACCGACGCTTGTTGACCGTCACTGTAAGTTATGGAATCATAACATGAGTCGTCTCTTTCAGTAAGAGTACGTAATGATAATTGAACAATATAAAACCGGATTGTTGCATCAACTGGCAAAATTATTTTCATTTTACAATATTTATCATAACTGAACATCGATGGATAATCCGGTGTTTGTATGAAACCTTGTGTAAATGTTACGATAGAATCATTACAAAAAGTGACAGTTGGATAATCAGTTAACGAATGAGTAGGTTGCATAGGAATACAGTGATAATGAAAACTAATCAAATCTGTTGAACGATTACCGCAAATGTTTGTTGAATTTTCTTCTCGGATAAATGTGTAGGTACATTGCGTTTGTCCAGAACACAGAGATTGGGGTTGGTCACTTGGATAGTGACATTGTTCTTCGCTCATCTGACAGGCAACTGGTGTGTGTGTGACGTACTAAAACCAAAGAGTGAAGATTATATAAATAGCTTTATAATAATTACAAAAGGTACTTAGACTATAACGCTCATTCCCTATGCAAAAATTGTCTTGATATGAGTTACTTTTGTCTATGTTTGTTTTAACCGAATTATCTGTAAACTAGATCTACACCATGACTAAGGAAGTTGCAAATAGTTTTAATATTGAGTCTCGGTACACTGAATACTCAGAATTTCGGTATTTTCTAAAATCTTGATCTCATCTCTCTTTGATCTAATACTATTTAGAGAGTATCGTCATTTTATACTGTATCCGTGACTATATGGAGGTTAGAATGTTGTTCCAATCCGATCCACACAGTGGCGACGCGAAGAGGTTGGGGGTAAATCCAAAAATGAGAGTAAGTTCTCCAAAAATAAGCCCCCGATTCTCCGAGCTCATGGTGAAGTATAAATAACTGATGAGCATCACTCATTAAGTTTGCCTAAACGTTACATTCACTGTAATTTTTTCAGACGTAGGCGGAAAAAAATAGAAATATGTCATCTAAGTCGGTTAAGAAAGCTTCTTCAAAGAACACATTTAATATTAGTTTTCGGAGAAAGCAGCACTTTAGTATTCGAAAAAACCGGAATCGGAGTAAATCATCCCTTAAGTTTCCCCGAAATCCGGAGCAAATCGTTCTTGATTTTCTTCAAAATCGGAGTAAATCACTCTCCGAGTTTCTCCGGAATGAGAGTAAATTGTTCATATTTTTTTCACAAATTGGGAGTAAATTTGACCAAATTTTTTAAAAAAGTATGGGGGGGGGGTAACCCCCCATTTTTCTCATTGGCAAATCAAGCTGCCAATGAGAAAAATACTAGCTATACTGTGTATGGTATATCAAGAGGCTTTTAGGTGAATTTTATTTCTGACGATGATAGGGGTTTTCCCAGTCATATAGCTTTGGACACTATCAACGCACAGAATCAGCTTCAAAGCTAGCCAATCTCCGTGTACTCCAAGAACTATTCAACTACTCGAAGAATGAAACTCTCAGCTGTACGATCAATACAGATCGTGACAAATTGTACAGGAAAGTTCTACTAGCAACATTTGATCAGCTTTGAAGTCCTTCGGGTTATCGAGGCCGATATTTCAACCAACCATCTGTCAATATTTGTGACGCAAGCGAAGTTTTTTTTGTTTCATCGGTGAACCTTTTTTGCAGTTTTTACTGGGGGCCATTAAGAGCATTCTAGGTCATTTTTGACCAATGTTTAGACTTTCTTTGTACAATTTACAGTGAGTTTACTTCTCTGATTAAGTGCTCCCGAAAGACTGTAGGACTTCAATTTTTTATCAGATAATCATTACCTGTAATGAGTCTAAAAATACTAGTCCGTGATTTTCTGTACATAACAGTGATATTCTCGTCCTCCCAGGCGATAAACAAACCGTTTCATTATAGATCATTAACGGTTGAGCATGTATTGGCGGCCGCTGCGTAAATGCTGACTCACATTCATCATTGGTATTTTGAACAACTGGTTCAACATATAAATTGAAGCCCGTATAGTTTAACACTGAAGTTGCGTCTTTGAATATATCATGAAATGTTATTCTTATTGTACCTGAACATGATTCATATAGAAATCGAGTATGTAAATTTCCACATAGCCTCGCCGAAGTTATATCCATTTCGTGAATGTCGACAAACGCGTCATGAACGACATCACATTGTCCATTTTGAATTGTCACAGGTAGATTCATTGCTATTAGATAAATTTTAAATGAGCGAGGTTTACCACCAAATGACAATGGGGTTGAAAACAAATCGACACTACATTCACGTGTTAACGGAACGTATGACGGTAATAGAATATTTGCAGAATGTTGAATAACTGCTTGATTTGTTGCACAAATATCGACTTGAAGTTGTGTTTTAACAGGTACGCATTGATATTCAACATATAGATAAAGTGCAGATTTATTCTCACATGATTTTACTTGTAGTGCGGTGATATAAGAGATAGTGCACAAATTTTTACCATTACATGAACTATGCAAATGTGGACGTTCTTCAAAACAATCGAATGGCGAATATTGACACAAATCTTGTATACTAACACCCATGTCAACGGTTAATAAAACAATAACAGAATCTTTCGGACATGATATTATGTGGTGTTTTCCCACACATAGTGTTATTGTTTTTGCTGGTGTACTCATAATTGGTGATGAATCTGTCGTATTCAATACCGTGACAGCTGTAGTAGTAGTAACTGATGTTGTTGATGAAGGTATTGCAGATGTATGATCTCTCGAATAAAGCTGATAATAAAGTGCAAAGCCTCCTTGTGTTTGATGTGAATATTGCCGATAGGATAATTCAATATCATCTGAATTGCATGTGTGAAATAAAAATTTTGCTTTTTCCGTTCCACATAGACGATGTTTCACAAAATGACCATCACATCGATATTGTAATATAAGATAATCATCTAAACATGTTTGATTTTGACTATTTATTGGGGCAAAATCCATATCAAGAAGATACATGGACAAGGTATATTTTTCTGGCAGTTCTAATGATATTTCAGGACATTGGTATTGTGAATAAATTGGATAATGCATACTTGTTAGAATACCACTTGGAACATTTAACAATACTGTTGATGAACATACTTGTAGCGATGGTTGGATATTTAAAGTAGGTACACACTGATATTCAATGTATAAATAGGTTGCATACGCTCCATCGCATTCTGGTATTTGTGATGGAGTCCAAAATGATACACCACATGATTGTTGACCGGCACACTGATGATAGACATAGTCTGTTTCTGCTATACAATCCTCGTTTGTATAGTGACACGTTTGTCCTTTTCCATAAAATGCGCGATGTATAACTAACAGATAATTATTAATACACTTAATGTTATCACCAAAGAGTCCGGTATCATTCATATAACAAAATATTTGTGTCTCTATTGGGGATACGTTCGGATAATAATCGGGATTTTTTGACGATGTTGTCAGCAATGGTGACATCGTCGTCGGAGGTGCCAAACACATTGTACTTGGTGGACGATCAATAAATTCAAAATATAATTTTACACCTTTACCATTTGAATTACGCGATTTTATTAATTGTAATGTTAACGCTGAATGACACGTTTGTAAAAGAAAATGTGTGTAAGAACGTCCGCATATTTCATTTGTTACACCATCGTACGTTAGTATTAATTTATCTTTCGCACATCCTTGTCCTAGCAGAGGTGCAGTCAGTTCCATATCAAGTAAATAGACATAAACATCTTGTTTATCCAACGGTTGAATTGTCAATAAGCAATCAATATCCGATTGTGTGTTTGAAAAATTAGATGACACGATGTATCCACGTTTCACTGATTCTTCATTTGTTGGCTGTATTAACACATCACTACATATATTATATTCTCTTATGTTAGGAACAGTATCTGGCACACATATGTAATCCAAATGCAAATACGTCGATTTAAGATTGTCACATGATGTCAATATTTTATCAAAATAATGAATCAGACACGAATTTTTCCCGGCACAAACAGCAGTGATTGTAGAATCATCATTCTGAAAACAATCAGTTGGATCATAGGAACATTTAGCAGCTGAATCAGTTTTGACTCCATAAACAGCTGTAAGAATATCAATTACGTAGTCAGATGGACATTTCAATTGTTTGGATTTTCCAATGCAAATATTATTTAATGTCGATGGTGTCACACCTAAATCACAATAGCCCCATTGTTGATCTTGGTCAAAACTAGAGGTCAATGAACACCAAGGATCGGTCGATAAATCGGTTACTGTTGTTGGTGGTTGATCAGTTTTAATGCAACTACTCGCCAAGTTACCCTGATAAAGAAATGGAAATACACAATGTTGTCGAATGCCATTAGTCGTACCACCGTACGTTGAAACTAAATATAGAAGAAATAAGAATAGTTAGCAAAACTACGGTAATTTGCAAAAAAAAAGTTTAAATGTTGTCCTACATATATTTCTTCATTTCTGTGCACCTGTCGATCTTTTTTATGCACTTGTATCGATGGTTCACGAAGAGTATACTTTATAGCAAGATGTTTCAAGATTTTATTCGTTCATCTTTAGAAGAAATGCATAGCTGGTGGAATATCTGTATAAGATATAAGACGAGAAATGTGTATAAGATGTAAGTTGAATACAAATCAATGACGTAGTGCAGTATTCTAATTGCAAGAAATTAAAAAAAATTCGCTCAACAACATTTCATTAAAATTTAACAACAAATATAAAGTAAAAGAAAATTTATATTGAACTGACCAAAATGAATGCAAAACTTCAAAGATGAACTCCTGAATTTTTATTCCCCCATAGTTAGACAGTTGAAATAAAATGAGAAAAAAAATTACCGTCTTTCTCGACATTTTCAACTTTTAGCATAGTCGTTTCAATTCCGCTACTTTTACAGCAAGGGATGTTTGTTTGCTTGTACAATCAAATATCATACCTTATACATTCTTTTAAACTTTTAAAAACCCTTATATTAACCTATCTATGAAAATATTCCTCCATCATTTAACAAAAACTGTTGGAGGAAGGAGGAAGTGGACAGTGAAAATGAGTGCGAAAAAAATATTTGACGCTTTGCTGATCGACTGAAGTTTGAAACTGGCATTTATAAATCACTATCTTACTTAGTAAGTGAAAGTCGACATTTACGTTAAATATCCAATTAATTTCTTTGTTTTTCCATTAGTTAGAGTTTCAGAAGTTGAAAAGCCGATGGCAAAAGTTGAAATGGATGAGGTATATGAAAAGATGAAAATGGGATAATGTATAATAAGCGTTTGTAGAGAATGTAACATTAATAAAATATCTTGGTAAGGCAGTAACATTGAAAAAACATAGAAAGAAATACAGAACTGCTACAAACATGATTAATATAGATCACACTGCTATTATTTTGATTTATTATTGATATTTCGACGATGTTCACTCGTCATCATCAGAATAAAACGAATGACACCAGATTTGATTCAATAAAAGTACAAAAAAGAAAAAGAACAGAAAATTATGCAATTAAGTCGACGTCTTTTGTTCATATGATCGATCATATGTTCTAGTTAACATTCTTTTTGACCGATAAAACCATATGATATCATCGATCATATGAACAAAAGACGTCTACTTAATTGTATAATTTTCTGTTCTTTTTCTTTTTTGTACTTCTATTGAACCAAATATGACGTCATTCGTTTATTTTGATGATGACGAGTGAACATCGTCGAAATATCAATAATAAATCAAAATAATAGCATTGTGATTTGTATTAATCATGTTTCTAACAATTCTGTAGAATGTAACATTGTTAACTTTATATTATACTAAAGCGAATCTTCATTAGGCCTTTACTCGGACATTTTGACAGCTCTCAAGACATAGCACGAAAATATGTTTTTTTCGTAGATCAATCACATCAACATTAATATTTTTTCGTTCTACATTCAAAAATTATTCGAGTTTATCAACGTTTCTGGACTTTCCTTTTTCAGCACGATGCATGACGACTGACCAAACGTTTTCAATTAAATTTAAAATAGGGACTCTTTGTTGACCAATTAATTAATTATTGTATATTAATGTTGACAAATTGTTTAACCAGATTATAAGTGTGTGTAGGATCGTTGACTTGTTCTAAATACTACTGCCAAACTTTTCTAGTAGGAAACATCAGAAAGAAGATGGCTTTTAAGTATCAATATACCCATGCAAAAAAGAGTAAACAAGGAATTCTAACTTCTAAAATAACTCAAACGTCCACTTAACAGCAGATTTTTTAAAGTAAATGGCTAGCAGCGTCGAGAAAGTATCCACTTGCGAGCCCCGAGCGGATGATTCAGTGAGCGCTTAATTGAGCGATTAGCGCCCAATTCAAACGTATCAGCTAGCTTTGGTGAGTTAAGAACTGGATCAAGTAGCTGCAAACGCCCAATTTACGGTTTGTTTTTAGTGCTTAGGTAGTATACATCATTAAGATTCAATCTAAATGTATGACAAGCCAAACTACCTCAAACACGAACGTTCGAACTAGTGGCAGAGCCACCAACAGGGTTAGGCTAGGCTGAACCCCGCCTAGACAGTTTTTTAAAGCTCTGTAAAAGAACTTTTTGGCACTAATTCAGACCGAACTCTAGAAAAGTGATGGGCTGAGCCCTGCCTAGCACGAAATCCTGGTTCCGCCGCTATTTCGAACGATTCTTGAATAAGCGTTCTAGTTCTTGTTCTGGATGTTTCGACCAATGACGAACACTATTTCGAAAGAGGTGGAGTGATAATTCATCTATAAACAGTGTATGTGTCCATACGTCTAATGCAATTATAAGCAGGTTTGACTTTTGTTTTGTCTGACAGTTTTAACGTTCCTTTTGTCAATGTTTTGACAGTTTCACTACCATTATCAAGACAATGTCTTAATTAGGCTTGCAACAATCCCAAACTAGGAATCGCTTATCGGCACCGAAAGGTTTGTTACCGAAGATATTCGGTCACCAAACCGTTCGCAACCGAACACGTTGGATCACCGAACTATCGGTTTGTTGCATGCTTAGTCTTAATAATGATAGTGAAATTGTCGAACTGCTGTTAACTGCATTAGATTCCTATTCGTATTAACACCAACAACAAATTATGTCTAATCGTCATTTAGATGTTGTTCAACCGAATATCTTTGATGTTGTTTTGGTTATTGTGTGTCAACATTGTTGTACTTGCGAATAAACTATTTCTATAGCCATATTCATGACGATGAAGATTGGTTGTTGATATGAATGAATTTTTATGCTTTTACCCTCCAATTGTAACTTCTGACACTTGAAAGATATTCGGTACAATTTTAAACGCAAATTTACATACGTTCAGACATTTATGTAATTTTATACGTGGCTATGGCAGTTTAAAAGCAATTTCAAAGATTCTATGCTTTTCTCTGTTAGTTAAATGATTACCTCCACTAATAACTTAAAAGTATCTCCATTATAAAATAATGTTTAGTTAAAATTTCACCATGATATTCATGTTCAGCACATTAAACAACAAATAGTCTGATAGTAGTTTCTCGGAAGAATATATACTGACTACTTACCAATACTATAATTGGAGGATCCATTATTAATAACAAATTTTTGTACACGTTCATTGCCACCATCAGAAACATACAAATTACCCTCTCGATCGAATTGCAATGAGTTTGGATATGATAATTCATCGGCTCCACTTCCATGACTCTTGCCTACAATCAATATTCCATTTGTTGTATTTCGTAACCATTTCACTATACGATGGTTGCCCAAATCGCAGATATACACATTCGATTCAGCATCTAATATTACTGACGTTGGATTATAAAGTTGATCCAAATCCGATCCTCTTCCGTTGCCTCCTGCTACTGTAACACCTGTATCTGAGCCCGGATACCATAATTGAATCCTGTGATTGTACATGTCTGCTACATAAATATCACCCGTGTTAGAATTTATAAAAATGCCCATCGGGCGGAACAATTGATCTAAGCTGTCACCAGGAACACTACTTCGATTGTTCATTAATGATATCTGCCTTTTCTTCCTTGTTTTTCACCTGACTAAGACAGCGTCCAAATATGAATAGCTTCTCTGCCTGCTACTATATCCCCTGTGTTCGCGCCAACAATAAATTTCAAAACTATATGATTTAAATAATCTGATAAGTAAATGTTTCCACTCTCATCTACAAACAGGCCGTAGCACGTATCAAACTGATATTTTCCAACAACTGTGGATGCATTTGTAGATTTGTTAGAAAATTTTTGTATCAGATGATTAACACCGTCTGAAACGTACAAGTTTCCTTGTTTATCCACGAAAACAGCATTTGGGCTATACAACTGATTTGAATTGTCCGCCACAATTTCGCCTTGAATAGCATCGGATGTCCATTTAACAATTCTGTCATTTCCGTTATCTGCTACATAGATACTATTTTGATCATCAACAAAAATATCTTCTGGTGAATGAAGTTGATTCAATTGGTCACCGGAATTGTAACCACCGGCAACTGTTTCTCCGGTCGTAGACCATGTTGCTTCTGAACTGATCGTTGGAACAGCCGATGTTTCAACTATTTAGAAAAGAGAAGAAAATTATATCAGATGACAACTGATTTACAGTCGAATGTACCCCATAGTATTGACGAATTTGATATTCTAAAGAGAGATGAAATACATTAACTTTAATTTATTAGTGAATGCACTCGATTAGGACTCACATTAAAAAAAGTATATATGCTATTGCTAATAACTTCATTTTTCTAAGTACCACAATGCGACATTAGACAATTTTTTTAAATAGAAACAATGACTAGAATATTTTTTTAGTGATGACCATGTTCTTCTAGATTCTTTATTAAAAAATAATAGATAACGTTTTCTTTCTCTTACCTTTAGTGTATTAGTTATTTACACATGTATTTGTTTACGTGTCATGTCATAAAAGAATTCATCGAAGTAAAGCAGGTCGAACAGGAATGAATTTAGAAAGATTTTAATGTTGTGAGTCAAATTCACTACAGAACAAATAACATATCACCGGAACAAAACAAAATAAAGTTGGTTTACAGTTGCTGAAAAGTGATTTTTCGTATTCATCACACTCGATAACCCAGAAGATTTTCTATTTTTGGCCCGGGGTACTTCCGAAAGTTTAAGAAAAATTTTGAAACAAAATGGTGCAAAAAGTTTTCCATGGAAAAATCATATTAATTTGAAAACTTTTCCTAAACTTTCGGAAGTATCTCGAGCCAAAAACAGAAAATCTTCTGGGTTATCGAGTGAGCTGAGTACGGAAGAACACTTTCCAGCAACTCTAAATCAACTTTATTTTTTTTCCGGTGATATGATTCAACTGTCACACAATAAAACAGGAACATACCAACCAGTCTTACAATGATATACAAATGTACCACTGTGATGCTCAAGATTTCTAATTCAATGTTAGATAAAATAGAAATATTAGCATTACAAAACAAAATAGATTTTTCTTTGCTATAATCATATCTGTGTAGTTTCTATGTCAAAAATACTGAAAAACACAATTTTTATTAACTGAGTTTTTTCAGTTTTTGTTTAGTAGTCTTTGATATTTAGATTCAATTTTCTATTTGAACATGCATCTAATGGAGTCAACATTTCTTTTTTGTTTAAATTCTGAACCTTAACAGTTTTTGATAAAACTCCAAGGTACGAATTTTGGTTCAAGATGATGAATGAAGTCATGAAGATATTTGGAACACGAACGAACAACTTCTGAAATCAGATTATTTTGAATTTATTCGTTATGCTTTATATACTACTTCAAACTGCCTAAAACAGAGCAAAAAAAAGTAAAGTTTAGCCATCACCAGTCAGTTGTATAGCAAAGACTATTTGCTTTTAGTAAACAGTTTAATTTTTCTGCATTTAATAGTTTTGTGTAAAATATGTATTTTTTCTCTCTTTTTTCTCTCACGTTTTAAAGTGAAAAACTGTCTGATGTCATTTTCTAAAAGCTGAAGACATATAGTTACGAGAAAATAATGGCGGCAAACATGGAAGTATTAGGCCCATTTTTAAACAACTTTATTCTAGTGAATCTATCTATTTTTCGGCATAAAATTTGTCTGTTTAGAACAAACCAGTTTATTCCAGTGCTTTAATCAAAAGTACAGACAGTGCTGTATCTCCAGAATCATAATAGCTAATAAGTTGAAAGTTTCCGTAGATATAACTCATGTTAAATGCTGATCATCTAACAACGTTTAGCTCTTTGAATCCCATGGTTTATAATATGTCGCGAAAGGTCGCGAGCTTATTCTTTCATAATTTATCATAGGCAGTTTTTATATTTTCGTTAGTATTTTTAACTGCCTATTGCATGTCGCCATGTTATTTGCTCTTAGTATTCTTTTGTGCGTCTTTAACATAAGGCAGAAAAATGGACGAGACGAAGATAGATGATCAGCTCGAGAATATAAAATAAAAGAATATATAAAAAGAATTTTATCTAGTAAGTACACGTTTTTTGATAAAATTGGCTGCGTGTGTTTTTCGTTTTGATATAGAAAAGAAAAAAAGGTTATCATTGTGTTTTTGTTAAGTTGTTATATAAAAACATATAAGTTAGGATAATAAACGAAAACGGACCAATTTATCAGATTATTAAAATGAAGGAATTTTCTGTCGTAGATTATCCACTGCCTCTACGACACCATCTCTGGTTTGAATAGATCAATAAAAATGGTAAGAGCCAAGTTTGAAGATACAGCAACTTATTGAAATTATATTATTTTGTGTTTTTAAATTTTATTTATTCTAATAAACTTAAGATTAATAATTAAAGAAATTAAAGAGAAAAGTTGCTTCGAGTTTTCTTTGGTCAAGTGGATTCCATGGTGTGGAATACATAAACTCGAGATAGAGACTAAATAAATATTTCGTAGTAAGGTGATTATAACAGAAAAATGGATAAAATAGAGAGGTGCGAGGTTTTGTATCCATTAAAAATTTATCACTGGTACTGCATAGATGAATATTTTCTGATTACAATGAGGACAGTTGACACAGTTATTCTGTTGATAATTGGTATATTGTGATGTTGTTGTAAAGACAGGTGCCATTGGTATTTGCGACATTTGGGCACCAGTATCTGTATTGACTGGTATTCGATATACTATGATAGCGACTATGATGTAAATAACAATATATGTTAAGGATAAAAGAAACATTAATACAGCGCATCCTAATTGACCTTTGAGAATTGACACCTTAGTATCCAGACACTCGATAATTATGGGAGTAGTGGAGGGAAGGTACACGGTAGTAGTAGGAAAGGAGTTAGAGTATGAATTACAATAGTTGTTGCACATGCTAGGGCTAAAATAGTAGCTATTCACTAATTCTACGTCCCTACTACAATAATAATAATGTGATTAGGAAGCCAAAACATCAATGGTGAATGATCGGTAACATTCATGGGGATTATTGATAAATTTAGCATCTAGTACTATCAATACAATTGAAAATATCGATGATATGATTTGCTCAACAAGTGTATGGGTTGTTGCTGCACGTGATGTTGTACAACAGTTTGAACAAGTACATCCTTGAATAAATAAAATATAACAAAGATGTGCTCTTCTTTTCTTAACGTATACGTACCATTCGCATAAGTGGCTATCCATGTCACAAAAAATGGCAGTGAACACCAATAACCAGCAAAGATATTTCCATGGTTAAAATCGACTCCAGTATGACCACCTTCCAAACAAAGAATTGCAAATGTCAATACCATCTGAGCAGAAGCAATTATTAGACACGCTACTCTCGGAAATTTGTTTTTCCAAATGTCTCCCTTGCTATAATCGGTCCACATGTCGATTCCTTGTTTTCTCAGTATTTATTATTATTATTATTCTAGAAAAACGAAAAGCACAATAGTCAGAGTTAAGAAAGATTGACTCAAACAAGATGTTTGTAACAGTTTGTACAATATTTATATTATCTACAAAGAATGTTCATCAATCCTATTTTTATTTCTTCAATAATAGATTAAATTCGACATATATTTTACAATAATACTTGAAACATGGGATGTAGAGTAAACAATGCGAGAAACGGTGGAAGAAATCAAGGTTATCTTTTGAAAAAAAAATTGTTCATAAGCAGCAGTAGCTTTGAGTTTGCTTTTATTATTTTGCTCCTAATAATTCAAGCCGATTAAAGAGTCTTTAGTGATTTTAAGCCATCAGTCAAAACTAAGTAACGGGTCTTTTTCAAAGCCTAATAGAGTCTTTTAAATAGTATTCTTTTTTTAAGCAGCATAAAAAAATTGTCTCTTTTCCGCATTTCTGGCCACTACATATTGAAAAAGATTAATTCGAAACCGGTGTACATTACTTTACTTTCCTACTACTATAATAATAGGGAAGTAAAGTAATGTACATCAATTCATTTTGTAAAAATTCAAGTTGAACTTCCTGACCAGCTGTCAACGGTATCGACTTCGTTGGAGGCTCTGTTATCTAGCGAACAAAACAAAAAAAAGGAATTTCTACAATATTTGAGTGATATACTACTATGACATACACTTACCTTCTCAATCAATTCAATCACATTTGATAAATCTTTAATTTGTTGAAGAAATCTTTTGTTTTGTATCTCTTATTACTATATTGTCTCTACATATTGCACAATTAGGATGATCGATCATTGGGGTTTAGTTGGAAAAACTAAAAACGTCAAATTTGTGCAAAAATGAAGTCACCCATACTCCACTAGTTAAAGCCAAGAGTTTCTATCTTAATCAAGGTCATCGCGATAGTACATTCAAAGAACTTTCATTTGATGCACTAAATCATTTTCCTGCACAGAAATAAACTTTTCTAATTTAGAGTCATTAGAGTGTTGAATAATTTCACTCTAGTATCGTCTCTTTTTCACAGGACATTTGCGTCTATTTCGGTTTCGACGATCATTTGTTATGGAGGAGCAACATCCCATAAGCAAGTCTGAAACACACCCTACCAGTTTAAAAGACAAGCAAAATTGATCTGTGGAAACGGGCTTGACAGGAAGAGTATATTGAGGATTAACCTGCCCTTCTATTTCAATAGATAAAACTGCTTGCTTGAATGATGGTTCTGATGAGGTTGATTGCATTAAACTAGAACGGAACGAATGTGACAAAACGGGTGAATATCGTTGTCGTATGGGTTTATACGTGCCGGGTATCCTCGCTAACACGGTAATAACTTACATCGCGATCTATCAAATCATCTGATAGATCACGATTGAGATAAACAATGAAGATATCGCGATATGTACCATTATCAATGCCTTTATGGCGATAAGTCGGCGATTGCTCGGTTTAAAAATCCTCAAGGGCTACTTACTTGCTTTGCTTTTCACGTTAATTTGCTATTTTTCGCCTTGCTTTGTTCTTGGTTTTCAGTTTTTCTTTTTGGACCTTGTTTATTTCTGCTTTAATTGTTTTGCTTTTCTTACGTCTTTTTGAATTCATTTTTTTTGAATAATAAATTCTTCGTTAACAATTCCATATTTGTTCGTCGACCTACCACTTATATCATCATCATTCACTCTCACCCTCACCAAAGATGACGTCCAAATGAAATTAAAAGGAAACCACTATTGGATTCGTCGAGCAATTTGACATCTGGTACCTAACTTTTTGATTTGGTTCAGCACGGAGTGAGTGCCAAATTTTCTGATGTTTCTAGTCAGATGACCTATTTGCTTCACCATAGAAAAACGTTCTTATCTGATTTCTTCTTAACTAAATAAAAATGAAGTGTTAACAATAAAAAGTAATTGTTGGCAAACATTACTATATCAGATATAACACTGCTTGTGATGTTTAACTTGGCGTTAACAAGTATATAGAACATATTATACTTGTAACGAGTTCTTAAGACGAGTACTAATCAAAATTAGTCAATAACTGAAAAGTAAGGTCAGATCGTGCCGTTATTGTCAGATGTACTACATAGTGCTGTTATAACTCGTCAAGTTTAATTTTGAATGTGATTATTCTTAAAAAGTTTTTTTTAGAAATTAATTTTTCAACAGCTGATACACCAAATGATTGTAATAGAAATTTGACTGTTGATGCAAATAAAGGTGTCATCTTAGATGCGGTGATATTAGTAGAATTTGTAAATTAGGTGAATGTCATTCTATTGAAGGAGTTTCATATTATCGTCAAGCAGATTTTGTTTCTTCCATGTATGGTAAGTAAACACAGACTGATAAGCACTATTTGCACAACTCATAGGTGAAGAATTAATGAAGATACTCAGAACGAGACGTTTGACAGACGATGCATATTTGGATATGAAATAATACAAGTTAGAATTTTGCTTTCGAGCTGAAAATTGATAACATTTTATTGAAAAATATTAGTTTCGTTAGAAAAAAGTTTTATTTGGAACCGTCAGCAAAAATTCAATCCTCATGTTGAATGAGAATGTTGAAAAAGAAGTGCTAATGATGTTCGAAATTAAGGCAGCACTAGTCGTCTTCGATGAATTCACACTTTGAGGCACACACAGTTGAGTGACAGGGTCATGAGTGCAAATGATAACATCATCACCAGCACACAGTTCAATGGCTGAATCAAAACAAACTCCCAAGCATAGCTGTATTTGATTTGATTTATAATGGGAATATAGTTCTGTAACATTACAAATTGTACGTTTGTCATTTGCACAAACTTGAAAATTATTAGTCACACATTTTTCAGCACATACACGATCATTTGCACAAACTGTACCATTTAAACATTTGTAAGATTCAGGATTATAACAACTGCCTCCAGATCTCATTTGACAAAGATCATACCCAATCGGACAAAGAAACCATTAATACATATTTGATCCGTCGTACAATAACATTGATTACTGCATGTTTGAAATACATTGCACACTGCCATTGATACAATGCCGGAGTGGCGGTTTTCCACTATTAAAACATGTACCATTGCATACCTGAAATTTGTTTTGGTTCATAGATATTGAATTGTTGTGGAACTCTATACAATGTCACATTATCATTTGCATACACTTGATATTGATACAATGAAGAATATGGTATACACTGTCCATTACATACACGATC